ATGTATTTGAACGGGACATACGGAAATTCTGCTATTCTTTATTGAGAAAACATCGGATTCGTACGGCAAAAGGGCCTACAACACACACCAGCCGACAAATATTAACATTTATTATATTTTATGGTTAACTTTTTTTTCTTTTCAAGATTGACAGGGGAGACTCTGCCTCACCTGCCTCCCCTGACCGCATGTCACTCTTACAACCTTATTAGGTCCCCAAATTGTTTAGTTTAAATGTTTTGGCCTAAAATTGTAAAATTTTGTGGTATTTCACAGAAAAACAATCAGAGCTGAGACATACTGTATGTCAGAAGAAATATATAATTTTATTCATCAGAACTACAGCTCTCCTTTCCTATCCTGTTAGCCATTTCACAACCAAGGAGTAGATTAACTTAGTTAAAACAAGGTGACAGTCTGGAGCTTTCATTGACCCTGGAGTTCTGGGGTCATTTGTCTGTCTGGTAATTCAGCCTGGCCACAACCTTTTGTGACCAGGCCGTATCTTTCGACCACTTAGAGGTTCCTCATGCTGGAGCCACCGCTGTAATACAGTATACTAAGTGTAGTATATTTAAGCTCTTAATTATTGTTAAAAACAACCTTTAAATATTTAATTCAGATTTAAGTCAAATATTGTGCAATGATTTTTACATGAGAAATCAGTATCAATAATTGCAGAAAAGTGTTATGATTAGCCATAACCATAGTCTTAAGTCTCTGGATGTTGTGGGGCTGTCTTGGCTGACGCACCTCTGCAACATCGCATGGCAGTTGGGGACAGTGCCTCTGGACTGGCAGACCGGGGTGGTGGTCCCTCTTTTCAAGAAGAGGGACTGGAGGGTGTGTTCCAACTATAGGGGGATCACACTCCTCAGCCTCCCCGGGAAAGTCTATGCCAGGGTACTGGAGAGGAGAATTTGACTGATAGTCAAACCTCGGATTCAGGAGGAGTAATGCGGTTTTCATCCTGGCCGTGGAACACTGGACCAGCTCTATACCCTCTTCAGGGTGGTGGAGGATTCATGGGAGTTTGCCCAACCAGTCCACATGTGTTTTGTGGATCTGGAGAAGGCATTCGACCGTGTCCCTCGCGGTGCCCTGTGGGGGGTGCTCCGGGAGTACAGGGCCTGGGGCCCTTTGCTAAGGGCTGTCTGGTCCCTGTACGACCGGTTCGCATTGCCGGCAGTAAGTCAGACTTGTTTCTGG